ACTTCATGAAGTTACTAACTTTAAAAACTACCAATAAAGATATGAGCAAGGCCTCACCTTAATACCAAAAAAAAAAATTTTATTAATACATTCTTTGTATTCTAACAGATTTTTTAAAACTTTCAAATTAAATGAAATCAAGTATTTCAAAAAACCTTAAAAAAAAGATATAAAACTTTTAAAAATAGTTAATTTATATATAAAAGAAGAAGATATGACTGCATAACTTTTCATATATATCTTTTCTTATTTTTATTCTATTTGGTTTAATTCTTATTGATCTTATTTCTACTATTCACAATACTTTTATTTCTTATCATACTGTTACTACTCTTTTTATCAAACTTCTCCTTTACTTAAACCAACAAATATACAAATAAATATGGATTCTATACTGTATTTCATATATTACACAACTTCAAATTACATTTTTTACCTACTCAATTTATAGTTATTCTTCTAGTTTATCTTCACCTTCTATTTCAATACCACAAATTATTACTAAAATTGATCTTTGGATTATTCAATGAATTAAATACCATACTCTTCTCTCTTATATTATTACTCAAACCCAAATCTAGGTGAGCCTTGACCACTTTTGTAGGTTTAGATTGCAGATTATATGTCAGAGTCTTTATTCTTCATATGTAATTTAAAAGCAAACTTTTCTTTATAAAATCTTCAATTAAATTTCAATAAAATTAAAGGCATGACCTTACCATTAATATTTAAAAAAAAGAAAAAAATATGAACACTGTAGTAGTCACTTTAACTTTTACAACTTTAAAAGTAAAAAAAATTAGTAAAACACACAAACATCTACATGCATATCATAAAGATTGACCAATTTCCATTGTGCTGATCTTATATAAACTGGCTTTAAGCTAACTTACTATATATTTTAATTGGTCTTTACTATATTAAAAGTTCACTACAACGAGAGTATGTTGTACTAAGATTACTAGTCTAAACTATACTCATAAATTATTAAAATTTGAATTTTGGATTTTAGATGAAATTTTGAATTTTTGTTATCCTAATTATCTGTGAACCAAAAATCGGGCAAAATAAATATACTCTCAAAGCTTATACGCTAGTGTAGTATTTAACAGACTAACAACTTCTAATTACTAATAGTATAGAATTTGGAATTCAAGCATTAGCCAATGTTTTTATAATTCGTTACACAGATTTTTTTTTTATTCAAAATAATTATATTAAATATGATTGCGGGCAATTAGATTAAAAAGTTTAAGATTTTAAAAAAAATTGGCGATAATTGCAATTGTTTAATTGTCATTTTTTTCACCGGTAATGTACATCTTAGAATATCTTTGAAGTGATGATGAAAGATTATCATTTAAAATTAAAAGATCCTCTACAAGAATTAAAAATTAAAAATTAGTCAAAATAAACAGTATAGAACACAAATTAGTTAGGCATTGCACAAGGAGAAAGATCGGAATATCAAAGTAGCTATGTAATGTAATGAAATAAAAGCATCAAATTTGCTATTGCTACGCTTGGTCCAAACCAAATAGAGATTAGAATAAGTGTTAGTACAAGAATTTTGGGCTTATAGATATAATTTCGAACATACGTATGATAATTAGTATGGTATTATCTTAATGTGTGCGTATAGTGACCAGGGATCATATTACAAAGCTACATTTGTATCTCCGACTATACTCCTTTACCGAAGACAATAATTAAGTGTACAAACCAAGTAATTCTTCTTTTATCACAACTGTAATATACGACCTTATTATTTCTTGAAACTTTTGACATTGATCATGTAGTTGCTAAGAGACGGTAGTCTTATTAAAAGATGGTTTAACACTAAAAATTACAAATTCAAATCCACTAACCTCTATCACTTCGTTCGATTCTATATGAGAATCTGATTTTTGTTCTTCACTAGACAACATTTCGTCAAAGACTTTAACGTATTCCTTAGCAATTCTCATGTCTTCGTCCAAGTTATCTAACCGAACGTCAATTCTTATTTCTGAAGAATCAGTAACAATTACGTCATTCATAGCTCCATAATTTCAAACACACTCGTCCATCAAAGAAAAACATACCATTGACTGCGCGCCGATTATTTTTTTGTGGTTTAATATCAAAATCTGGTAATAAAAAGTTAGAATCAATATTTTCTGAACCATTTTGCGCTAATTCGGTATTTCTAACACATGTGCGAAGAATATCTCTGGAAAGTCCAGCCGCTTCAGTATCGTTTGGCTTTTTTTAAAACGATAGAATAGAGTTACTTTCTCAAAAAAAAACAAGAAACGAATTATCCCGTTTAAATAACATTTAACAACTAACTTGGACATTGACATCCAGAATGCGGACGCTATAGTTCATTTTTATAGACACTGCTAAGGCCATAACGCCTGCGATATCAATATCCGGATTAGCAGTAAGGTCCAAATGGACTAATGATTTAGTCTCCGGAAGATATTCAGCAAGAGCAATGGCACCTTTAAAAATGATAAAATTGCGAGTTATTAAAGATAAGAGATGACAATTAAACTTTTTTTAGGTATCAAACAACCTTCAGTTGACAATTGTGTATTCGACATAAATAATATTTTCAATGTGGTATTTAATGACAAGGCATGGCGAAGGGAGGTTACCTGTAATGAATGAAAATAAAAAATGTTACACATTTGAAAAATCGAATCACATTTATTAGTTTACATACACCTTCGATTGACGGCCCTCCAATAGGATTTCGACTTATATCAAGCAATTCCAAATGACAGTTGTGTTTCTAAAAAAAAAAAAATCAAATAAAAATAAAATAATTTTATTCAAGAGTAATACAGTAAATAATATAAAGCATTAATGGTTCACATACCACGCCATCTGCAATAAATATTAATCCTTTAAAGTCTATGCGATTTTCTGATGAATGTAATTCTTTCAGGCTCTTATTCCTTCGTAATGCTTGTGAAATATATTGAACACCACCCTATAAACAAACTAGCTTAATAACTATTATTAAAGTTGTAATCTTTAAAAGACACGAGACAATTACTTTTATGTCGTTGCCAGTGATATCCAATATTTCTAAACCGTGTTTCCTTAGACGTGATCTTTCTTCTTGTATTTCTGCTGGTTCATTTAGTTCTGAAATCACAGGACTAGATAATTCATCATCTAGTTTTAAATTTTCAGTGTCATAATCTCGTAACATTACACCGATCCAAACAGCGCCAGTATTATTGATACGATTATATCGTAACGAAAGATAACGTAAATTAGATCGGCGAATACCAGGACCTATATTTAATCGTGTATAAATATTATATATTATCAGAAAAGAAATAGCTTATAGATGATAAATCTAGCCATTATATTAATAATAATATATAAATATAACATAAAATAATGTAAAATAAATCAAATTACCCAAAACTTCCAATGCATTATTTTTCAGTCCGCAACCGTCTAATTTTAAAGTTTCCAAAACAGCACCGGACATATTATTTCCTTCTACTAAAGCTTGTGCTAAGAAGGTAGCAGATTTTTTATCGATATATGTCCCAGAGAGGTCAAGGTAATTTAACGTTGTAGACTATAAAATAGATTGGACTTGAATTTTCGAAACCAAAAAAAAAAGTTGCCAAATTATACGATACCTTTTTTATATAAATAGCAATATAATTAAATCCATTTGATCTAAGTCTTCTATTATTAGAAAGATTTAAATAAGAAACAGTATCGTTTACGAGTAGACTGTGGCAAAAGATTTTTTGTGTCTGAATAATAATAATCGATCAATGTAAATAGTTGAAGTAGCAAGTAATCATTCAACATCTTCCAAGAAATTCACCTACATCATCTTCAATATCACATCTCTCCATTATTAACTTTTCTAGTCCACATTCAAGGGTAAGTATATCAGCAATAGGTTCGGAAATTTTCCTATCAAGTATATGGCCTTTTAGATAGTTTTTAAGAGAATATAATGTTAAGCCAATCAAATAAAATCGAGACAAAACGCATCGGAAAATACCTAACCTGTCAAATCAATTACATTTAATGAACCTCCAGGTTGATTTGCTTTCTATGAAATTATAAAGAAATATATCAATAATGAGTACTAATTGAATGTGAATTATATATATTGAAATTTAAAAATTATATTTTATTTATTGGTTTTTTTTTACATACCTTAAACAAATCTACGAGCCTATCTAAAGGAAATTCTTCTCTAAGCCTACATGCTGATAAATAAAATTGTAGCATTTCTTTAGCGGTATAGGCAATTTTTTGATTAACCTCTGACTTAGGCTGAGCATCGCGATTCTGTTTTTCATCCCACTCATGAAAATCATATTCTTCTTCCTCGTCACTGGAATCGCTATCACTTGGGATAGGAGAATGCGGATATTCATCTCTTAATTTCGTAACTGAGAAACGAACTCGTTTAAGGGACTTAGTTGTAAGGAGATTGCTATTTGACAAAGCAGGAGGGTATTGAACATTGGACTGAGAAACCTGATCAGAAGTTGATGTAATGCTTATTAAAGGCAATTGAGGATTTATTTCTTTCGGTAGATCCTCCTGAGAAGGTATGGATGTTGACGTGTTAAGCTTTTTCAATGCGTTTGTGAAAAAAGAAGCGGTAGAGGTCGAATTCGTTGACGTAGCAGTGGAGTTTGCGACGCTTTGAAGACGCGCATTAAATGTAGAGAACCAGTCACTTTTCCAGATCGATCGAGCATTAGACTGTGATATAGGTTTCAATATACCCTTTTTTGGTGGTTGAGCATTAGCAGTAGAAATAGGACGACGATATGGAACTCGTTTTGACTTTATAGGGGAGGAAATTTCAAGGTTAGGAGTTTCACATTCACCAGTAACTGACGTGACGGGATCTATTACTGTAGACGCATTTAAGTCTTAATCAGTAAGTTTATAAGTAAACCAGGACTATTTAATTGTTTTAATTCGAAAACGTTTTCGCCTTTGCGATATTATGAGGAATACCTATTAGATTTGTTGTCGATCCTTCAAGATCCTCAGTATTTTCTGAAAGCTTAGTAATTGATTCAGACTTATCTAAGTTTGAAAGATCATTTTCAGACGTGTTCAGATTAAGAGAGCCATTAGAAAACATGATTTAATAATAGTAAGCTATCATTCTAGATCAAATTACGTTTATAAAATATGTGCGTGTGCTTCAATAGAATTATCGTTATGTGGGGAGATGATCATACCTTCTGATAACCCTCCTACATAATTGTTTAATAAACAAATTTGACCCGAAAGACCGGTTCAAAAATGACACCTTAAATTATTTAAATCTTTGATGTGTGTTCTGTGATACTAAATAATATGGATTACAAGGTTGTAAATGATAGGTCAAGCCGATCACATTACTGCATGTGGAACCAAGCTTTACACCAATTAACAGAAGATATAATCCTTTAAGCTACGTATGTAAGTGCATACATAACAAGTTAGAAGAAATAGTATTAAAAAAAAAAATAAAGCGTGAATCATTTCTAACTAAACTTTTTTGTAAATTGTTTAATGAGCACACATTTATTAGATGGTTGCATTAGCATTTTTTAGACATAATAATTTTGATAATTTCACGTGATTTGTGCAAATAACAATACGTATCAATTAATATCAAGCCAATGCACATAATATATACAGATATATGCGGATTTTCTAAACTGGGCCTTTTTACGAGTTCCCAGATCTAATAAAATAACAGTACAAAGACTCTGTCCGTCCTACGAAGTACCACGAAACTTAAAAATATAATATAACTATTCACGTTTAACTTAAAGGTAAGGGCACTATTTTAAGGGTAGAGGGTACTATATTAAAATTATATATAAACTTAATAGTAAATTTTTCATATTTAATTTATAAAACATTATATTATGTATACTAATTTTACTTTATAAAAAAAGTTTGTAGAGCAGGTTTTTCTAATCCTAATAATAGTAAAATCATTAATATTAAGTAAAAACTTAGTAGAAGATGATTTTTTAAAAATTAGGTATAAAAATTTATTAATTAACTTATAGAGTTATGTAAATTAATTCTAAAAAACTTTGCAATATATACAAGTATATTTTTTTTAAATATAATAATAGTTCAAAATTTTATTATAATAGATAAATTTGTTTATTTATATTTTATAAAAATTTTAATAAAAATTAATTGTAACTTAAAAAAATTTTATTAGTAACATTGTAATATGGTTGCTTAACCTAACTAGATTCTAAATATTTGTTTAATAAATATGTCATCACTAGTTAAATCAAGC